CACGACCTATGACTGCTGCACCTCTCCTGCCATACGGTTTATAAGCTGCTTCTCCGCTGATATGCCGTATTCTATTCAAGATTGATGGACTGAACACATCGACTCAAGGTTGAGGGACTGATTACCTCATTCTCCTCCTGTTCTTCAAGTTTCTCCTACGTATGGTATGGTGATCATTACTTTTGCAGTTTAAACACGCAGGTTGTGTTGGAGCAGCAGCGGTACAGGAACTGAAGGTGTGTCCCTCACTACCACATGTAGTGCAGAACTTCTTGTCTTTTACTGGACATGTCTTGGTGGTGTGAAGATAAGAATATCAGTTCCAGCAATGTTGGATGTAGTGGTATCTCTCTGCTTCTATGTAGGTGGGACTGATGTAGTAGTAGTAAACAGCAAGACCTTCGTTCAGAGCAGTGGCAGCCATGTTCACGTCGGTAAAGGTGACCTTGAGCATAGACGATGCATTCGGGATTTTGGTAATGCTATCAACAGTAGCCCATTTTGTGTTTCAATGGATGACTTGAGTTCAGCAATTGATTGAGAAGTCAGAATCTTGTCCAGTTTTTTAGGAATACTGATTTTCTTGCCCTGGGGGCAGGAGAGAATGTAACAGTAAATTCTTGAGCAGTAAGAGTAGTGGTGGCTTCTGTGGTGAGTAACTTCTCTGCTTCAGCATCATCGTGACATACAACAATGAATGCTTCTTTCAGTGACAAAATAGCATTGAATTTCACTTGCAATGCTCCCTGCACAACAGTGGCAAGAGCAAACTTCGTTGAATCATCAACGGTACCACTTTTTGGCTTGATCTTTACACGATTTGCGTAGCTCATCGTGCAAGTCAAGGCGAAGACGAAGGCGAGAGCTTTTTAATTGAAGCTACGTACGGATCCTGCTTCCACTACATCATTCTCCAGACTGTTCCACTTTCTGACAGTTCTCTGACTGAAAAAAACACTTTCTTACATCCTTTTAGCTCATCTGAGTTTTCAACTTCCAGTTGTAAACTCTTGCTGCTGTGTTCCAGCTCTGGAACATTCTGCCCCTAACCACTTTCTCAGTTCCTTTTAGTATTTTATGTTGTCATTATGTCATCCCTATTCCTCCTGTCATCCAGTGTCGTAAGGTTGATTTACCTTAACATTTCCTCGTAGGGCATATTCCCTTACCTCTTAACTGCATGGTCGGTTGTGGATTCCATACTGGTGCTAGGTTTGCCAGGCGTCCATATGCTGCAGCAGTTATTAGATTGATGTGCGCCTCAGGGGATGTGCTCGGTATGATACTCGCCCCTAGATCCTTTTCCTTGAGTGAGGTTCGTAGCCTTTGGCCCACTAGCCTGTACTCCGTCTGCGGTTTTCTTTGACCTTCCCCTATCTTCATGACTTTGCACTTGATGGGGTTAAACTCCTACTTATACTCATCGTTTGAATTCTCCTCATTAGCTTCACATCATCTGCTGACAAAGACACCTCTGAATCTATCCCGTCCGTCATAAGTAAGTAAGTAAGTAAGTTTATTCAGGTATACACAAATACAGTTACATAGAATTATCATACATAGCAGCATATGTGTAGAGAACCTAGGATAACCCAAAAAAGTCAGACAGAGTGACTTATTTCCATTGCCATTCACATATATCAGAAACAGCACCGGCCCTAGGATTGACCTTTGTAAACCCCGCTTGTCACATGCGCCCACTCTGACACCCCGTCACGTACCATCACTCGTTGTTTCCTTCCTGTCAGGAATTTCCTGATCAACTGCAGGGCCTTTCCCTGTTATTCCTGTTTGCTTCTCTTGCTTTTGCACTAATCTCTTATGTGGAACTGTGTCGAAAGCCTTTTTACAGTACAAGAAAATGCAGTCTACCCACTCTTTTCTCTCCTGTCTTATTTGTTACCAGTAGGTTTGTATCACAGGATTTCCCCTCCCTTGAAACCGTGCTGGTTATCGTGTATGAGCTCATTTCTTTCTAGGTGCTCCACCACTCTTGTGATAATCTTCTACATGACTTTGCTTACTCTACATGCCAGTGACACTGGTCTGTAATTTAATGCTTCTTATCTGTCTCCTTTCTTGAAAACCTGGACTGCATTTGTTGCCTCGTTACGATAAATGTATTGACGATTGATGTTAGTAGGAAGCAGAATGCCTCTGCTTCCTCTCTCAGAACCCATGGAGAAATGTCCGGTCCCACCGCCTTTGAGGTATCTAGTTCGCTCACCAGTCTCTTCACTTCTTACCTGGTTGTATAGTGTGTCCAGCACTTGTTGGTGTACTCTGCCATCCCGGTTTGCTGGGAGCCTTTCTGCCTCCACTGAAAATACCTCCCCAAATCTCAGTGTTGAGCTCCCCACACACTTCTTATCGTTTCTTGTGATCTCCCACTTCTCCCTTCCTTAGCCTGATGGCCTGATACTTGACTCGTTTTCCTCTTGATGTGGTTATACAACAGCATTTGGGCCAGATTGAGCGTTCGATGCTATGTCATTCTCATGTTGCAGCTGAGCCTTTCTCCTTATCCATGCATATTCGTTTCTAGCTCTTCAGCTCATCTCCTTATTTTCCTAGGTCCTTTGTCTTCTGTACCTTCTCCACGCTCTTGCACATCTAGCTTTGGCCTGTCTACACCTCTGGGTGAACCAAAGACTCATTCTGGTCTTCCTATTATCTCTGTTGCCCTTAGGTATAAAGTTCTCCACTGCATACCTGCACTTTGTGGTCGCATGATCCATCAATTCATTTACTATCTTTCTCTCCAGTTCTCATCCCCACTGCATCTCATGCAGGAATTTCTTAATGCTTTATCCTCCTTCACATGCTGTTTCGCTTTCCACTGTTAACACTACAATGTAGTCGAAGCACTGAACCATGTAGTCGAAGCACTTAATAGAGGCTCTAAGGGGCCTCTATTAAGTGATATCCCCAATGTTTGAACTACTCAATGTGAATAAGAGGTCCACACTTGCTAGTTCATCCCCTCTTCTCGCTTTGGTAATGTCCATAACATGTCGGTGCATGATGCTTTCCAGTACTGCCTCCATCATCTTAGCTCTCCACGTTTCTGGTCCCCCATGTGGTTCCAGGTTTCCCCTGTCAATTTCCTTGTGGTTGAAATCGCCCCCAGCTAGTAACTTTGCCTTACCCATATGGGCCCTTCTCGCCACCTCAGCTACTGTATCCACCATTGCTCTGTTGCTTATTTCTGAAGTGTTCCTTCTATGTAGTCATTTGCTTTCTTCTGACAATTCCTTTCATCTCCTCAAAACTCCACTGGTTTTTGACGAGGCATAACTACTCTTCCATCTCCTCTGTTCCCTCTATCCTTCTTTAGGATCTGGTGTCCGAGTGCAAGTATCACATCTGTTATCATTCCTTTGAGCTTTGTTTCTGTGAGCACTATGCTGTCTGGGGGATGCCTCCATGATTTTTTCGTGCCATTCCTCACATTTATTTGTTTTTCGGTCTGTGTTGTTTTCCAGTACTGTGTTCTGGGGCGGTTATGGTAGACAGAAACGTGGTGGGCCTGGCAGGATACTGTGGGAGGTTGCTGTGAGGGGGGAGTTTGTAATGGGAGGGGTGGGGGCTGTGGGTGTGGAATGAGGGTTCTTTTGGGTTAATTTGTTTGTTTGTGGTGGGATTGTCTGGGTAGTGTTCTGACAGTGTTTGCTGATCCTCCCGAGTCTGGACTTCCCTGCCCATCTCTATCCTTTTCTCTCTTTCCTGCCCTTGCATCTTTGTATCCTCTCAGTTTCAGACATTCTTCTCATGTTCTCTTGTGGTTAGGGTATACCCGCTGGTAATTTCATGAGCCCCTTAGTCATTATTTCTGCTGCAGGATCATGTATTGCACTGTTTCTGAATTGAAAATCAATTTGACTTGGATGATTTTTTACCCTTGAATATCCCCTATTCTCTGCAAATTTGTCGGTTGCATCACATTTTCCTCTCCTGTCCGTTTGATGACATTTTCAATCTCTTTTCCTCCCTTGTCTTCTTTCTTCATATGTCATCCCTTCAGCTTCCTGAATCCCACGAATAAAGACTGACCTCTCCCTTTTTTCCTCCCACTGAATTTCCTTCCATATCTCAGGGTCCGATTTAAGTATCTCCATTGCTGCTTTCCTTAACATTTTGTGAATCTCCCATTGGACTGATAGCGCCTCAGTAGGTAACCTATCTCCTTCCCTTCCTTCAGTCCCCTCTCTGTCAGCTGTCCCTGTACCTAATGGCATTCCATTTTCATTCCACAACATTCTCATGGACCCCTTCCCCCAGTAGTCTGATAGGGCCTCTGCATAGGTCTTATCTCCATCCTTCTCTTTGGTCTCCTTGCTGGTTGCTGATGTTCCTGTTCCTGTTGCTAAGCCCCATCTGTTCTTTGGCTCCATATCCCATTTCAGAATTTTCAGTTCCTCTTCTAGGCTCTGTATTCTAGCCTTTACAGTTGCTGCTTGTAGCTCTCAAATCTTGCTCTGTGTAGCCATCTTCTCTATTTTATTGTTAAACTCATCTAACCTTCATTCCCATTCTTTTTCCCTTCTCTGCAGCCCATTCTTCCCAGACCACTTTTCCTCGGTATCCCTGGCTCTTCGTCCTGCTGTCTGAGACCCCATTTTTTAATGTGTGTGTGTGTGTGTGTGTGTGTGTGTATAGTGTTGGCTTTGCAATACAGATCAGTAGAACTGAACAATTTAAATTTTATTTTGGCTTCATTTTTGTACATTAAAATAAAATAAAGATATAATGAAATGCACAAAAGAAAAAAGAAAAGGAGAGGAAGGGGCAGATAACATGGACTGAGATTATTAGGAAGAGATGATGTATGAAGGAACTGGGACAGAGAGGTGTAAGGAAGGAGAGAGTTGAAGACAGCACCACCGTCAACACCACCACTTTCTCACCAACATCACCTTACTCCACCATCTCCCTCGTGATGACTGAGGGCGTCACCTGCCTCTCTCACCCTAGCACTGCACTCAGAACCATCAACGTACCACTGTTGGAGCTCTGAAGCAAATGTGTAAGAGAAATAAGGGCTGAAGACATCACCAACACGACTTTCACGCCAACATCTCTTCCTATCCCTAACAACTTCTTCGAGAGCCATCCATTGATGTCATACAGACGCTCTGTGTCCTCGTTGTCGTATATATCCTGCACCTAAGAGAGAAGAAGAGTTTTTGGAATACCTCGAATCTTAAGGCAGTGTGCAGTTTGAGAATCTATTGTTACATGATAATGACAAGTTTTATGCAAGTAATTATGTATCAAGGCTGAAAACTGTTCACTAAGGTAAATAGGATGATGTAGATTGATCTTACATGATGTAAAAGTAAGTTCATAATTCTACTGTGATCTTACACAAACGTCAGATCATCGCTAGAGAAACTAACAGAATAGTGGTACCGACGCTTTTATATGGGTATGAAACATGAGTTGCGAATGTTGCAGCGAGGAGGAGGCTGGAGGCAGTGGATGTATCGTGTTTGAGGGCAATGTGTGGGATAAATATTATCCATGGAATTCGTAGATTAAAGATTTGGAGGAGGTGCGGAGTTACTAAAAGTATTATTCAGAGAAATAAGGAGAGCTCGTTGAGGTAGTTTAGACATTTAGATAAGATAGAGCAAAAGAGGATGACTTGGAGTATGTATAAATCTATAGTGGAGGGAAAGCGGGGTAGGGGTCGCCCTAGGAAAGGTTCGAGGAAGTAAAGGAAGTTTTATGTGCAAGGGGCTTGGACATCCAGCAGGAATGTGTGAGCATGTAAAAAAGAAGTGGAGGAAAATGGGACTTGACGAGCTGTTGGAATGTGAGGAATGTAACATTTGTGAAAGGTACAGGGGAACCGGTTAGCTAGACTTGAGTCCTGGAGGTGAAAAGTACATTGCCTGCGCTGTGAAGGAGGGGTGGAAATATTTGCAATTTGGAGGGGCATGTGAACTGTATTAACAGCGCGCATTTGGTAAGACATTGACGGAGTGAATGATGGTGAAAATGTTTTTTTCTTTTTCGGGTCAGCCGTTTCTCACCAAGGCAAGATGACCCCTAAAAAGGAAAGAAAACTTTCACCATCATTCACACACAATCAGTGTCTGTGCAGAGGCGCCCAAATATGACAATTATGATGTCATTCCAAAAGTCAATATCCCAAACCCCTCCTTTAAAGTGAGGGCATTGTACTTCCCACGCCACCAGGACTCAAGTCCTGCTATCCGGTTTCCCTGAATCCTTTCACAAAATATTACCTTGTTCACTATCCAATAGCTCGTCAGGTCCCAAAAACTATTCATCTACATTCACTCATATCTAATACGCTCACACACGCCAGCTATATGTTTAAGCCCTTTTCACAAAAAAACCTCTTTAACCCCCCTCCCTGTATCCTTTCCTAGGACGACCCCTACCCCTCCTCCTATCCACTACAGGTTTAAATACCCTTCAAGTCAATCTATTTTGTTCCATCCTCTCTAAATGACCAAACCCCTCTCAGCCCTCTGACTAATACTTTTAGTAACTCCACACTTCCTCCTGATTTCCTCACAACGAATTCTCTGCTTAATACTTACACCACACATTGCCCTTAGACACAGCACCTCCACTGCCTTCAGCTTCTTTCTCACTGCAGCATATATATAATCTATGCTTTACACTCACAAAAGTGTTGGTACCATTAAACTCTCATTCATTCCCATCTTTGCCTCCCTGGATGACAGGTGCCTCAATGGACCACTCACCTAATTATTGTATACACAAATTTTCGCTTGCCTTATTCAGCAAGAGGAGCGTTGCTATTTAACCCAAAATCGTAAGTTTTACCTATTAGGCACGACGTATATATATATATATATATATATATATATATTAATATATATATATATATATATATAATATATATATATATATATATATATATATATATATATATATATATATGCAAAACAACCACTCCGAAAGAATAGAGAAATTCCAAGCGCTTTCGTGACTACTCACATTATCAAGGAACTATGAAAGTAAAGCATCCAACTATTATTCCTCGCATCAAGATAGAGTCAAACTGTCTGTTTTCTCATCAATGTTTTTGAGAGCTTTACGAATTTGTAGTCCTGAGTTCATAGATGAGGAAATATCCAAAATTTATGAAATAGGTAATGATTTAAAATACCCAAGAAATGTAATTGATAAATCTTTTAAAATTTTCAGAAATTTTTTTTACAATAAAAAAAGGACAACCACCCTATTCAAACTAAAAATATGTTGGTTCTCCCTTACCATGAAAACTGGTTGATATCCCTTTCTCTTCAAGACTTTTAATTTTAAAAAGTTGATTCAAAAATTTGATACGAAAAAAAAAATTTTGATAAGAATTCCCCAAAATGTGATGGATGTGTCATAAATTCCGTAAAATTTGCGATAAAGTTTATTACGGTCAAATGGTAAAAACTCGAACAAAATTTAAAACAATTTAAATATAGCATTAGAACTGGCAGTTTCCAAAATTGCTCTATTTTTTCTGAAAGAGTTTTAACCATAATTTGATTTTTCAAAAAGTGAAAAAAGGTATAAAGCAATCCATGGCGACGGAAATTTTTGAATTTTGTTTTATAAAAGCTTTGAAAATTAGAATATTTCCTTGGTTTAAAAATTTTTAATCCATTTATAATTTTAAAATTTTGGGAAGAATTAATAAAAAAATGGAAAAAATAAAATTTTAAATTTTCTTGGTAGAATAGTTTTGGTGAGTTGTGAAAAGGACCTGTCCAGTTGGGCCGGGCCCGGGGTCAGGTGTTTAACCGTTTTGGGATCTGATAGTGAGTGTTACCAACCCCTTATATAGTTCCTTGGATCTTTACATTCATAGTTCCTTTATAATGTGAGTAGAGAAAACACTTGGAATTTCTCTTTCTTTCAAGGGGGTTGTTTTTTCATATTTAAATCACCTTTTACTGGTTTTTTTGCAATATATAAATATTTATATATAATATAATATTATAATATTATATTAAAAATTTTATAATTATAATATTTTTTTTTTTTTTTTTTTTTTTTTTGTAATAGGGTTGGTTTGGTTAAAAAAAGGTTCCAAGGAAATGGGAAAAATTTTGTTAATAAACCCCCCTTTTGAACCAAGAAAAAAAATTTTTTCATTTTTGAAATTAATTAGTAAAAAATTAAAAAATAATTTAAAAATTTTTAACAAAAAAATTTTTTTTAAAAAAAGTTTTTTTTTAAAATTTTTTTTTTACAAAAATTTAAAAAAATTTTTTATTAAAAATTTTTAAAAAAAATTTTTTTTAAAAAAAAATTTTGAAAACCTTTTTTTTCCAAGGCCTTTTTTATTCCCGCAAAATTAAAAAAATTTTTTTTAAATTATAAAAAATTTAAAAAAAAAATTTTAAAAAAAAAAAAATATTTAAAATTTTAAAAAAAATTTAAAATATATTTTTTTTAAAACACAAAACCCCCCCCCAAACGGGGCCCGAAAAAGAAAAACTTTCACCATCATTCACTCCATCACTGTCTTGCCAGAAGGGTGCTTTACACTACAGTTTTTAAACTGCAACATTAACACCCCTCCTTCAGAGTGCAGGCACTGTACTTCCCATCTCCAGGACTCAAGTCCGGCCTGCCGGTTTCCCTGAATCCCTTCATAAATGTTACTTTGCTCACACTCCAACAGCACGTCAAGTATTAAAAACCATTTGTCTCCATTCACTCCTATCAAACACGCTCACGCATGCCTGCTGGAAGTCCAAGCCCCTCGCACACAAAACCTCTTTACCCCCTCCCTCCAACCCTTCCTAGGCCGACCCCTACCCCGCCTTCCTTCCACTACAGACTGATACACTCTTGAAGTCATTCTGTTTCGCTCCATTCTCTCTACATGTCCGAACCACCTCAACAACCCTTCCTCAGCCCTCTGGACACAGTTTTGGTATCCCGCACCTCCTCCTAACTTCCAAACTACGAATTCTCTGCATATATATCACACCACACATTGCCCTCAGACATGACATCTCCACTGCCTCCAGCTTCTCCTCGCTGCAACATTCATCACCCACGCTTCACACCCATATAAAGAGCGTTGGTAAAACTATACTCTCATACATTCCCCTCTTTGCCTCAAGGACAAAGTTCTTTGTCTCCACAGACTCCTAAGTGCACCACTCACTCTTTTTCCCTCATCAATTCTATGATTCACCTCATCTTTCATAGACCCATCCGCTGACACGTCCACTCCCAAATATCTGAATACGTTCACTCCTCCATACTCTCACCCTCCAATCTGATATTCAATCTTTCATCACCTAATCTTTTTGTTATCCTCATAACCTTACTCTTTCCTGTATTCACCTTTAATTTTCTTCTTTTGCACACCCTAACCAAATTCATCCACCAATCTCTGCAACTTCTCTTCAGAATCTCCCAAGAGCACAGTGTCATCGGCAAAGAGCAGCTGTGACAACTCCCACTTTGTGTGTGATTCTTTATCTTTTAACTCCACGCCTCTTGCCAAGACCCTCGCATTTACTTCTCTTACAACCCCATCTATAAATATATTAAACAACCACGGTGACATCACACATCCTTGTCTAAGGCCTACTTTTACTGGGAAAAAATTTCCCTCTTTCCTACATACTCTAACTTGAGCCTCACTATCCTCGTAAAAACTCTTCACTGCTTTCAGTAACCTACCTCCTACACCATACACTTGCAACATCTGCCACATTGCCCCCCTATCCACCCTGTCATACGCCTTTTCCAAATCCATAAATGCCACAAAGACCTCTTTAGCCTTATCTAAATACTGTTCACTTATATGTTTCACTGTAAACACCTGGTCCACACACCCCCTACCTTTCCTAAAGCCTCCTTGTTCATCTGCTATCCTATTCTCCGTCTTACTCTTAATTCTTTCAATTATAACTCTACCATACACTTTACCAGGTACACTCAACAGACTTATCCCCCTATAATTTTTGCACTCTCTTTTATCTCTTTTATATATATATATATATATATATATATATATATATATATATATATATATATATATATATATATATGAGAGGCAATCAAGTTACTTCTTTATCTCTACATATAACTGATCTCACTCTTTACAACTAACTTGATAAGCCCAGAATGTGGGCGAAACGTCGTCAGTATAGAGTCACAGTATAAAATGTTTTTCCATTGTCCAGTCTAGTTAATGATTTATAATCTGGAAGTGAATTGTTCGAGCTATGGTATTGTCTGTCATATTCCTCTCACACGACTTTTTCTCTAACATCTTGTTCCTCCTGTGTTTTCTCACCTTAAAGTATTTCTGCAACATTTTCTTGAGTTGCTGCAGTTGCTGGTGTTGAAGGACATCGTCAGCATATAAGAGAAGAAGCTCGGGAACACACCTGGCCTGGACACCTGTGTCTTGTACTGATCACAACAATAATAGAAAGGTGTAGTAATACAACAGTAATAAAGAGGTACAATACTACAACAGTAATAAAGAGGTACAATACAACAACAGCAATAAAGAGGTACAATACAACAACAGTAATAAAGAGGTACAATACTACAACAGTAATAAAGAGGTACAATACAACAACAGTAATAAAGAGGTACAATACAACAACAGTAATAAAGAGGTACAATACAACAACAGTAATAAAGAGGTACAATACTACAACAGTAATAAAGAGGTATAATACAACAACAGTAATAAAGAGGTACAATACAACAACAGTAATAAAGAGGTACAATACAACAACAGTAATAAAGAGGTACAATACAACAACAGTAATAAAGAGGTACAATACAACAACAGTAATAAAGAGGTACAATACAACAACAGTAATAAAGAGGTACAATACAACAACAGTAATAAAGAGGTACAATACAACAACAGTAATAAAGAGGTACAATACTACAACAGTAATAAAGAGGTATAATACAACAACAGTAATAAAGAGGTACAATACAACAACAGTAATAAAGAGGTACAATACAACAACAGTAATAAAGAGGTACAATACAACAACAGTAATAAAGAGGTACAATACAACAACAGTAATAAAGAGGTACAATACAACAACAGTAATAAAGAGGTACAATACAACAACAGTAATAAAGAGGTACAATACAACAACAGTAATAAAGAGGTACAATACAACAACAGTAATAAAGAGGTACAATACTACAACAGTAATAAAGAGGTACAATACAACAACAGTAATAAAGAGGTACAATACAACAACAGTAATAAAGAGGTACAATACAACAACAGTAATAAAGAGGTACAATACAACAACAGTAATAAAGAAGTACAATACAACAACAGTAATAAAGAGGTACAATACAACAACAGTAATAAAGAGGTACAATACAACAACAGTAATAAAGAGGTACAATACAACAACAGTAATAAAGAGGTACAATACTACAACAGTAATAAAGAGGTACAATACAACAACAGTAATAAAGAGGTACAATACAACAACAGTAATAAAGAGGTACAATACAACAACAGTAATAAAGAGGTACAATACAACAACAGTAATAAAGAGGTACAATACAACAACAGTAATAAAGAGGTACAATACAACAACAGTAATAAAGAGGTACAATACAACAACAGTAATAAAGAGGTACAATACAACAACAGTAATAAAGAGGTACAATACAACAACAGTAATAAAGAGGTACAATACAACAACAGTAATAAAGAGGTACAATACTACAACAGTAATAAAGAGGTACAATACAACAACAGTAATAAAAAGGTACAATACAACAACAGTAATAAAGAGGTACAATACAACAACAGTAATAAAGAGGTACAATACAACAACAGTAATAAAGAGGTACAATACAACAACAGTAATAAAGAGGTACAATACAACAACAGTAATAAAGAGGTACAATACAACAACAGTAATAAAGAGGTACAATACAACAACAGTAATAAAGAGGTACAATACAACAACAGTAATAAAGAGGTACAATACAACAACAGTAATAAAGAGGTACAATACTACAACAGTAATAAAGAGGTACAATACAACAACAGTAATAAAGATGTACAATACAACAACAGTAATAAAGAGGTACAATACAACAACAGTAATAAAGAGGTACAATACAACAACAGTAATAAAGAAGTACAATACAACAACAGTAATAAAGAGGTACAATACAACAACAGTAATAAAGAGGTACAATACAACAACAGTAATAAAGAGGTACAATAGAACAACAGTAATAAAGAGGTACAATACTACAACAGTAATAAAGAGGTACAATACAACAACAGTAATAAAGAGGTACAATACAACAACAGTAATAAAGAGGTACAATACAACAACAGTAATAAAGAGGTACAATACAACAACAGTAATAAAGAGGTACAATACAACAACAGTAATAAAGAGGTACAATACAACAACAGTAATAAAGAGGTACAATACAACAACAGTAATAAAGAGGTACAATACAACAGTAATAAAGAGGTACAATACAACAACAGTAATAAAGAGGTACAATGCAACAACAGTAATAAAGAGGTACAATACAACAACAGTAATAAAGAGGTACAATACTACAACAGTAATAAAGAGGTACAATACAACAACAGTAATAAAGAGGTACAATACTACAACAGTAATAAAGAGGTACAATACAACAACAGTAATAAAGAGGTACAATACAACAACAGTAATAAAGAGGTACAATACTACAACAGTAATAAAGAGGTACAATACAACAACAGTAATAAAGAGGTTCAATACAACAACAGTAATAAAGAAGTACAATACAACAACAGTAATAAAGAGGTACAATACAACAACAGTAATAAAGAGGTACAATACTACAACAGTAATAAAGAGGTACAATACAACAACAGTAATAAAGAGGTACAATACAACAACAGTAATAAAGAGGTACAATACTGCAACAGTAATAAAGAGGTACAATACAACAACAGTAATAAAGAGGTACAATACAACAACAGTAATAAAGAAGTACAATACAACAACAGTAATAAAGAGGTACAATACAACAACAGTAATAAAGAGGTACAATACAACAACAGTAATAAAGAGGTACAATACAACAACAGTAATAAAGAGGTACAATACAACAACAGTAATAAAGAGGTACAATACAGCAACAGTAATAAAGAGGTACAATACTACAACAGTAATAAAGAGGTACAATACAACAACAGTAATAAAGAGGTACAATACAACAACAGTAATAAAGAGGTACAATACAGCAACAGTAATAAAGAGGTACAATACTACAACAGTAATAAAGAGGTACAATACAACAACAGTAATAAAGAGGTACAATACAACAACAGTAATAAAGAGGTACAATACAGCAACAGTAATAAAGAGGTACAATACTACAACAGTAATAAAGAGGTACAATACAACAACAGTAATAAAGAGGTACAATACAACAACAGTAATAAAGAGGTACAATACAGCAACAGTAATAAAGAGGTACAATACTACAACAGTAATAAAGAGGTACAATACAACAACAGTAATAAAGAGGTACAATACAACAACAGTAATAAAGAGGTACAATACAACAACACATCCTGTAGTAAAACTGAGTTTGTTGTAATTAACAAATACTGTCATTTAACGTTATTATTATATTTATGTCATTAGTGTCACGCAGCAACTGGAGAATGGGAGGCAATCAAGTTTGATCCAAGGAAGATAAAGAATTAGACACATGTGCAACATCTGGGTGTCTTTATATAGACGTTTCGCCCTCCAGTGGCTATATTAATACAAATTCAAGGGTCCTTGAATTTGTATTGATAGAACCACTGGAGGGCGAAACATCTACATAAATATATTCAGATGTTATACATGTGTGTAATTCATCACCTTGTTAATAATGTATATCATACATGTACATCTACGGGAGAGCTGAGCAGCTACAGTTTGTAATGAAAACTCTCAGTAAGAGTGGAGACCCCCCCCCCTCCTCGTATAACCTTGCTGCTTTACAAAGTTATAAGAACATAAGAACATAAGAACGAAGGAACACTGCAGAAGGCCTACTGGCCCATGCGAGGCAGGTCCAAGTCTCCTACCGGCTTAAGCCAATGCACCCAACCTAGTCAGGTCAGGTCACATTGACTTAAGGGAGGAACACGGCAACCGACCTGGTAGCACAAGCTATCAGGTCTAACTCACACCCACCCACATCCACTCATGTATTTATCCAACCTATTTTTAAAGCAACACAACGTTCTGGCCTCTATAACTACTCGGGAGTTTGTTCCACTCATCCACAACTCTATTACCAAACCAGTACTTTCCTATATCCTTCCTGAATCTGAATTTTTCCAACTTAAAACCATTGCTGCGAGTCCTGTCTAGGCTAGATATTTTCAGCACACTATTTACATCCCCTTTATTTATTCCCGTCTTCCATTTATACACCTCAATCATATCCCCCCTAATTCTACGTCTTTCCAGAGAGTGCAGATTCAGGGCCCTTAGTCTATCCTCATAGGGAAGGTTTCTGATACATGGGATCAACTTTGTCATCCTCCTTTGTACATTTTCCAGAGAATTTATATCCATTCTGTAATACGGTGACCAAAACTGTGCAGCATAATCTAAATGAGGCCTAACCAAGGATGTATAGAGTTGAAGAACAACCTGAGGACTCCTATTATTTATGCTTCTTGATATGAAGCCAAGGATTCTATTAGCTTTATTGCGAACACTTATGCACTGTTGTCTTGGTTTCAGATTACTGCTAACCAGAACTCCTAAATCTTTTTCGCAATCCGTAATATTAAGATCTACATTATTTAGTTTATATGTGGCATGGTTATTGTCCTGTCCAACATTTAGAACTTTGCATTTGTCTATATTAAACTGAATCTGCCACTTCTCCGACCACTGCATCAGTCTATTCAAATCTTCCTGGAGTGCTCGAATGTCCTCGTCAGAATGAATTCGACGGCCTATTTTGGTGTCATCGGCAAACTTGCTGATGTCGCTCTTTATGCCCTCATCTATGTCGTTTATGTAGATTGTGAACAGCAGGGGGCCCAACACTGACCCCTGTGGAACACCGCTCGTGACGCTTCCCCACTCTGATTTCTCCCCATTTATGCAAACTCTCTGCTGCCTATTTGTCAACCATGCCTCTATCCAGGAAAAAATTTCTCCTCCTATTCCATGTGCTTTAATTTTCCTCAATAGTCTCTGATGTGGGACCCTGTCAAAAGCCTTACTGAAGTCCATATACACAATATCATATTCATTACCATGATCTACCTCCTCAAACTATACAAACTACTGTGCATTACAGATACAAAGATTCGAAAGTATAGTTACAAAGTAAGTAACAAATATAAGGATACAGTTTTGCATTGGTATAGGCACAGTGTTATTTGGATGTATTGGTTATATACAGTTATATACAGTGTATTCAGTGTAACCCAAATACCATTGTCGTAAATCATCATTATCGTTCATCCAGCATTTACATCGTCTTATTTTAACTATATTCAGAAACTAAAGCTTTCATATCTCGGTTCCTGGCTTTGTGTTTCTTTAAACAAAATTGTTGAGCACTGGAGAAATAATTTTGTTTTATGGCAGTCGCGTCTTATGTGTCGAAATAAAAAGAAAGGAGTAAATATGTTTAGAATTCACGGAGCAAGTGAAATATTCACAATACTAATCTCAGGTCGAAGGAGACTAAAACGTCTACCGTCAGCTGGGCACCAAGGTATTGTACCAGGGTGGTACGGTGAGTAGAACAATGTGTACCTTGTTCCAAGGCTGGTCCCCTCAAGGAAGGTTCCTTGATGTTGGTGAGGGGCTCTTGATTTAGGGAATTGGATCTGTGCTCCAGTTCCCCGAATTAAGCCTGAATGCCTTCCACATCCCCCCCAGGCGCTGTATAATCCTCCGGGTTTAGCGCTTCCCCCTTGATTATAATAATAATAATAATAATCCAAGGCTGGTGGGTTCGAGTCTCCGATCTGAGATGAGTGTGCTTGTGAATTAGTTTGATTACCTACCTATATGGAATTATATAGTTTTGCTACATTTCTTCATCTAAAATCTGCATTTGTTACCGTAAACAGAGCTGCTATCATACATGATTGAGCCAACCTGAATATTGGTGGTAACTACTCATTTGGATAAAAAGTCAACTGTCAAATATAGTTACCCCTGTTTCCTACAGAGGTTTTTGAAGACGGACTAAAGAAATGTGCTAAGATACACCACAAGGAGGAGTTCTCAGTCCCAGGCAGTTTAATCTCTTAATGCTTTCTTAAATGATTTACTTACTTCACTTAAAGATATAGATATATGTTGTGCTGGGAACATAATGATCAACACAACACGACATGAGAAAATGATTACCTATTTCAAGTAAGATATAACTGATGGACCTTTGTCAAAGCTTATCCAAGACTAAGATATTAACAAACAAACGACAACTCCTGCCCATCTGTTTGCAGGGTGCAAAAAATCAGCTACCATGAATCTTACAGATATCTTGGTGTAGACGCACCTTTCACTAACTCAACCAAGTTTTCAGTGTCGTATCTCCTTAGCGTGTGGAGCGTGGTCCTGCAGAAGAGCACCAGCAGCAGTAGTGAGGTCAGCACAACGATCAGTACTCCCACCACCCCCGCTACCGCCATCCACCTGTAGCAACACAAAGCTGGGTGAGCAACGCAGTGTTTTGTGTAAAAAATACATATGCAACTTATAAAGAACATTTTATAATATTTTTGACGTGGGAGTCTCTGTTTTCTAGCAGAACCTGTGGCAGAAAATAAGTTCATGGTTTATGAAACAACAATATTTGTAACATGTAACTATCTTAACTAAATACCATTCCCGCTTCATCGCATATTACATCATTAATGTCACAAGTTCCTCTGTTCTCACTTTTAGCTAACAGCTAACAGCTAACAGCTAACAGCTAACAGCTAACAGCTAACAACTAACAGCTAACAGCTAACAGCTAACAACTAACAGCTAACACTAACAGCTAACAGCTAACAGCTAACAACTAACAGCTAACAGCTAACAGCTAACAGCTAACAGCTAACAACTAACAGCTAACAGCTAACAGCTAACAGCTAACAGCTAACAGCTAACAGCTAACAGCTCTAAGATAATAAATAAAGACCCTCCCAGTTTTACTGCGAGTGTCCTGGTGTGGGTAGACATGACTAAGTTTATCTTTATTTGTTGGTTTTCTATAAACTTTGAAATAAAGGGTTCATTTGTTCAGTGGCGCTGTAAACATTGCTACTGGATGTTTTAATGGTGCTAGCACGTCACCACTAGCTAGTGTGCCACTCAGTGTCTCATGGACGTCACCACTAGCTGTTGTATCATTCAGTGTCTCATGGACGTTACCACTAGCTGTTGTATCATTCAGTGTTTCATGGACGTCACCACTAGCTGTTGTATCATGCAATGTCTCATGGACGTCACCACTAGTTGTTGTATCACTCAGTGTCTCATGGACGTCACCACTAGCTGATGTATCATTCAGTGTCTTATGGGCGTCACCACTAGCCGTTGTATCATTCAGTGTCTCATGGACGTCACCACTAGCTGATGTATCATTCAGTGTCTTATGGACGTCACCACTAGCCGTTGTATCATTCAGTGTCTCATAGACGTCACCACTAGCTGTTGTATCATTCAGTGTCTCATGGACGTCACCCCTATCTGTTGTATCATTCAGTGTCTCAGGAACGTCACCACTAGCTGTTGCATTATTCAGTGTCTCATGGACGTCACCACTAGCTGTTGTATCATTCAGAGTCTTATGGACGTCACCACTAGCTATTGTATTATTCAGTGTCTCATAGACGTCACCATTAGCTGTTGTATCAGTGTCTCATAGACGTCACCATTAGCTGTTGTATCAGTGTCTCATGCACGTCACCACTAGCTATTGTATCATTCAGAGTCTTATGGACGTCACCATTAGCTATTGTATTATTCAGTATTATTCCGTGTCTCATGGACGTCACCACTAGCTGTTGTATTATTCAGTGTCTCATGGACGTCACCACTAGCTGTTGTATTATTCAGTGTCTCATGGACGTCACCACTAGCTGTTGTATTATTCAGTGTCTCATGGACGTCACCACTAGTTGTTGTATCGTTTAGAGTCTTATGGACGTCACCACTAGCTGTTGTATCATTCAGAGTCTTATGGACGTCACCACTAGCTGTTGTATTATTCAGTGTCTCATGGACGTCACTACTAGCTGTTGTATCGTTTAGAGTCTTATGGACGTCACCACTAGCCGTTGTATCATTCAGTGTCTCATGGACGTCACCACTAGCTGTTGTATCATTCAGTGTCTCTTGGACGTCACCACTAGCAGATGTATCATTCAGTGTCTTATGGACGTCACCACTAGCCGTTGTATCATTCAGTGTCTCATGGACGTCACCCCTAGCTGTTGTATCATTCAGTGTCTCAGGGACGTCACCACTAGCTGTTGTATCATTCAGAGTCTTATGGACGTCACCCCTAGCTGTTGTATCATTCAGTGTCACATGGACGTCACCATTAGCTGTTGTATCATTTAGTGTCTCATGGACGTCACCACTAGCTGTTGTATTATTCAGTGTCTCATGGACGTCACCACTAGCTGTTGTATTATTCAGAGTCTTATGGACGTCACCACTAGCTGTTGTATTATTCAGTGTCTCATGGACGTCACCCCTATCTGTTGTATCATTCAGTGTCTCAGGAACGTCACCACTAGCTGTTGCATTATTCAGTGTCTCATGGACGTCACCACTAGCTGTTGTATCATTCAGAGTCTTATGGACGTCACCACTAGCTATTGTATTATTCAGTGTCTCATAGACGTCACCATTAGCTGTTGTATCAGTGTCTCATAGACGTCACCATTAGCTGTTGTATCAGTGTCTCATGCACGTCACCACTAGCTATTGTATCATTCAGAGTCTTATGGACGTCACCATTAGCTATTGTATTATTCAGTATTATTCCGTGTCTCATGGACGTCACCACTAGCTGTTGTATTATTCAGTGTCTCATGGACGTCACCACTAGCTGTTGTATCATTCAGAGTCTTATGGACGTCACCACTAGCTATTGTATTATTCAGTGTCTCATAGACGTCACCATTAGCTGTTGTATCAGTGTCTCATGCACGTCACCACTAGCTATTGTATCATTCAGAGTCTTATGGACGTCACCATTAGCTATTGTATTATTCAGTGCCTCATGGACGTCACCACTAGCTGTTGTATTATTCCGTGTCTCATGGACGTCACCACTAGCTGTTGTATTATTCAGTGTCTCATGGACGTCACCACTAGCTGTTGTATTATTCAGTGTCTCATGGACGTCACCACTAGCTGTTGTATCATTCAAATTCTTATGGACGTCACCACTAGCTGTTGTATTATTTAGTGTCTCATGGACGTCACCACTAGCTGTTGTATCGTTTAGAGTCTTATGGACGTCACCACTAGCTGTTGTATCATTCAGAGTCTTATGGACGTCACCACTAGCTGTTGTATTATTTAGTGTCACATTGACGTCACCACTAGCTATTGTATCTTTCAGAGTCTTACGGACGTCACCACTAGCTGTTGTATTATTCAGTGTCTCATGGACGTCACCACTAGCTGTTGTATTATTCAGAGTCTTATGGACGTCACCACTAGCTGTTGTATTATTTAGTGTCTCATGGACGTCACCACTAGCTGTTGTATCGTTTAGAGTCTTATGGACGTCACCACTAGCTGTTGTATCATTCAGAGTCTTATGGAAGTCACCACTAGCTGTTGTATTATTCAGTGTCTCATGGACGTCACCACTAGCTGTTGTATTATTCAGAGTCTTATGGACGTCACCACTAGCTGTTGTATCATTCAGTGTCTCATGGACGTCACCACTAGCTGTTGTATCATTCAGAGTCTTATGGAAGTCACCACTAGCTGTTGTATTATTCAGTGTCTCATGGACGTCACCACTAGCTGTTGTATTATTCAGAGTCTTATGGACGTCACCACTAGCTGTTGTATCATTCAGAGTCTTATGGAAGTCACCAGTAGCTGTTGTATTATTCAGTGTCTCATGGACGTCACCACTAGCTGTTGTATTATTTAGTGTCACATGGACGTCACCACTAGCTGTTGTATTATTTAGTGTCACATGGACGTCACCACTAGCTGTTGTATTATTTAGTGTCACATGGACGTCACTAATAGCTGTTGTATTATTTAGTGTCACATGGACGTCACCACTAGCTGTTGTATTATTTAGTGTCACATGGACGTCACCACTAGCTGTTGTATTATTTAGTGTCACATGGACGTCACCACTAGCTGTTGTATTATTTAGTGTCACATGGACGTCACCACTAGCTGTTGTATTATTTAGTGTCACATGGACGTCACCACTAGCTGTTGTATTATTTAGTGTCACATGGACGTCACCAATAGCTGTTGTATTATTTAGTGTCACATGGACGTCACCACTAGCTGTTGTATTATTTAGTGTCACATGGACGTCACCACTAGCTGTTGTATTATTTAGTGTCACGTGGACGTCACCACTAGCTGTTGTATTATTTAGTGTCACATGGACGTCACCACTAGCTGTTGTATTATTTAGTGTCACGTGGACGTCACCACTAGTTGTTGTATTATTTAGTGTCACGTGGACGTCACCACTAGTTGTTGTATCATTCAGTGTCTCATGCGACGACAGTTCCATTTTTTAACAGACATCAACAAGGTACAGTGTTAGAGGCTCCAAATATTCTTAAAAATATCGATGCAGTATGCATATAAATATCACATGGAATCACAATATAAATGTTAGATACAACTGAACACGTCACAACACTTCAAAATGTTTTATACGACAGACACAGCTACAATGTTCTTCCCACGACAAACTGTTCAGTGTCAATGATAATCCATCTGCGCCTTCAGTTCATGATTGAATTAAATGTTACTTTGAAAAACCTTGACTTTTTTAAAACCTGTGAGACTTAGTATGTGCAGTTATGATTGCTTAACCTAGGAAGGTTAAAGTTAGTCAGGAAATGCATTACCTAACCTAAATACTAAGCTTACAGACTTAGAAGATACAGTGCACGAATTGAAAAATATATTCTTCAGCAAAGACTTAGGATCACTGAACCGGCACAGAATCCAGAAAGTTACCTATTTCACATTTCCCATAGTGTGTGCAACTAGACTAGTCTACATAGTACTAGAGTTCGTGCTTCATTGAGGAACACTGTTTCAAGTCAGGTGTTGACTTCGGATCATTAACAGAGGTTAACGGGCTTTCAGTGCATTTTTCAAGCCTCTATCTTGGAGGCTCCACAAGAGTCAACAATTTAACATTCCTCAAGCCTCCATCCTGGAGGCTCCACAAGAGTCAACAATTTAACATTCCTCAAGCCTCCATCTTGGAGGCTCCACAAGCGTCAACAATTTAACGTCATCCCCTAGAAAAGTATTCCTCTTTATTCTTTACTTCATCCTAAATGTAACATCTTACTAAGAATAGTGATAAAATGTAGACCTGGAAGAGAATTTTCTATGCAGAACATCGTTTGTGCTGAGGTGAGTCTTGAGATACATTTGTAACCTATAATTTTAATCTACCATATTTGCTATTTACACATGTACTGTTTTGTAGAGTAACATTTGTAATAGAATTAGCATATTGTTAATTGATGGTATGTGCAGTCTAATAGTACTTCCAGTTTATCCAAAATTCTGAAGATCACCAGTGAAACTGATTTTACAATATATACTCTAACAGTTCCTTCGTAACTTAGTCTTCAAGCAACTTTGACATTATCATTGCATCAGGGGATTTACACTCCTTATATTATTTAATTTAAAGTCCATTGATGATGTGTCCAGACCAGAACTGTGTAAAGGTACAGTCGACTGTGGACCCACTGTATATACGAGTATGTCTCTTGAGGACACAGTACACAGGTTGTTTATTCAGTTAACAACTTGTACTGTGTCCTTTCTGAAACCTACTGAAATCAATACTAGCAAGTATTTAACAATTTAAAATAATCCTTCATAGATGCTATTACTACTGTATTACTACTATTTCTACTACTACAACTGCTACTATTACTAGTACTACTGCTACTACTACCATGCTACTGCTACACTTTTACTACTGCTACTGCTACTACTGCTGCTACTACTACCACTACTACTACTACTACTACTACTGCTATATAATTACTAATAGGCTACTACTACCCTATTACTACTGCTATTACTACTGCTACCAATAATACTACCATACTTACGATGTGGTATGTGCCTCAGGTGTATGGTAGGTATTACCACCTTCAACATGAGGGGTACAGTTCCGTTGACTAGTGAAGCGATCAGGGGTTGTGTAGAGCCTGGAGTAACCTTCTGCTTCCAGCTGACAACACAAAAGATGTGGTTGGCACAATTTAGTTAAGCATAAGCAGGATTCAGGGAGACTAAATTCACATTTGGAAGTGATATAGGAGACGCCTGATTTAGCAGCATAGTTGTAGACGAACTAACTGTTAAGTAGAGTCACCGAAGGCAACTGTTGGACAGATACTGGAATAGGCCTGGCAAGTGCCAGTAAGCCTAATGAATAATTCTTGTGTAATAAATCTAGTATGAGCTAGTAGGCTTATTGCAACGCTTTTTTTTTCATTTAGTATAGGCCAATAGGCTTAGAGCAGTTCTTGATGTTTATAATTAAGTCGAAATACGTTAACTGTAGTAGCTCGTCTTACAAGACTTACCTGGAAGCAGTAACAGCCGTCTTGATCAAAGTTATGCTGAAGGTGGATGGCGTTGTTGTCTCCCAGGGAGGTGAAGCTGCTGTCCTGGACGAACTGTGAAGGATAACTGAGTTAGAGGGAGACGCTCAGACACAAGGTAAGTGATCAAAGATGAACGAACATTATTATAATATTATAATCCCACTGAAACCATTATCTTAATGTATAAAATAAATGGATAAAGAGACACAAATGCAGTATAATACGATATTTTATTAACTAGGTTTCGAACACACAAACAGATTTGTCTGTGATTCGAAAAGGTAACTGTGTGGGCGAAACGGTAAAGGATGGCATTATACTGTATGTGTGTCTATTTTCCCATCGTGTCTGTGTTCTGTAACATTTATCTCCATTGTGTAAAACAAAGCTGACAAATATTTACCAACACAGACCAAAATTAAGTTGAACCTTCCCCTGGGTTAGATAAATCAGCGTTGTAAGTTTCAAGCCAACCAGACAGACCATTCTCATCATATCGCACGGAAAAATGTCACATCCAATTCTCTAAATAAAATTAAAACAGAATGGCGCTTATACATCCCAGTAAAAATCCCAGCAATTTTCGTGAGTAGGAAATATAATATGTGAAAGTTTGAAGCCGATATGACGTAGCATCATTAATTTATCGAACAAAAATCGATGTCTTAATTTCCTCATTAAAATAGAAAAGTGAGTGTTAGCCACCCAGGATAACCCTGAGTGTTAGTCACCCAGGATAACCCTGAGTGTTAGCCACCCAGGATAACCCTGAGTGTTAGTCACCCAGGATAACCCTGAGTGTTAGCCACCAAGGATAACCCTGAGTGTTAGTCACCCAGGATAACCCTGAGTGTTAGCCACCCAGGATAACCCTGAGTGTTAGTCACCCAGGATAACCCTGAGTGTTAGCCACCCAGGATAACCCTGAGTGTTAGCCACTCAGGATAACCCTGAGTGTTAGTCACCCAGGATAACCCTGAGTGTTAGTCACCCAGGATAACCCTGAGTGTTAGTCACCCAGGATAACCCTGAGTGTTAGTCACCCAGGATAACCCTGAGTGTTAGCCACCCAGGATAACCCTGAGTGTTAGTCACCCAGGATAACCCTGAGTGTTAGCCACCCAGGATAACCCTGAGTGTTAGCCACTCAGGATAACCCTGAGTGTTAGTCACCCAGGATAACCCTGAGTGTTAGTCACCCAGGATAACCCTGAGTGTTAGTCACCCAGGATAACCCTGAGTGTTAGTCACCCAGGATAACCCTGAGTGTTAGCCACTCAGGATAACCCTGAGTGTTAGTCACCCAGGATAACCCTGAGTGTTAGTCACCCAGGATAACCCTGAGTGTTAGTCACCCAGGATAACCCTGAGTGTTAGTCACCCAGGATAACCCTGAGTGTTAGTCACCCAGGATAACCCTGAGTGTTAGCCACTCAGGATAACCCTGAGTGTTAGTCACCCAGCATAACCCTGAGTGTTAGTCACCCAGGATAACCCTGAGTGTTAGCCACCCAGGATAACCCTGAGTGTTAGCCACCCAGGATAACCCTGAGTGTTAGCCACCCAGGATAACCCTGAGTGTTAGCCACCCAGGATAACCCTGAGTGTTAGCCACCCAGGATAACCCTGAGTGTTAGTCACCCAGGATAACCCTGAGTGTTAGTCACCCAGGATAACCCTGAGGGTTAGTCCCCCCAGGATAACCCTGAGTGTTAGTCACCCAGGATAACCATGAGTGTTAGTCACCCAGGATAACCCTGAGTGTTAGTCACCCAGGATAACCCTGAGTGTTAGTCACCCAGGATAACCCTGAGTGTTAGTCACCCAGGATAACCCTGAGTGTTAGCCACCCAGGATAACCCTGAGTGTTAGTCACCCAGGATAACCCTGAGTGTTAGCCACCCAGGATTACCCTGAGTGTTAGTCACCCAGGATAACCCTGAGTGTTAGTCACCCAGGATAACCCTGAGTGTTAGTCACCCAGGATAACCCTGAGTGTTAGTCACCCAGGATAACCCTGAGTGTTAGTCACCCAGGATAACCCTGAGTGTTAGTCACCCAGGATAACCCTGAGTGTTAGTCACCAAGGATAACCCTGAGTGTTAGTCACCCAGGATAACCCTGAATGTTAGCCACCCAGGATAACCCTGAGTGTTAGTCACCCAGGATAACCCTGAGTGTTTAGTCACCCAGGATAACCCTGAGTGTTAGTCACCCAGGATAACCCTGAGTGTTAGTCACCCAGGATAACCCTGAGTGTTAGTCACCCAGGAAAACCCTGAGTGTTAGTCACCCAGGATAACCCTGAGTGTTAGTCACCCAGGATAACCCTGAGTGTTAGCCACCCAGGATAATCCTGAGTGTTAGCCACCCAGGATAACCCTGAGTGTTAGTCACCCAGGATAACCCTGAGTGTTAGTCACCCAGGATAACCCTGAGTGTTAGCCACCCAGGATAACCCTGAGTGTTAGCCACCCAGGATAACCCTGAGTGTTAGTCCCCAGGATAACCCTGAGTGTTAGTCACCCAGGATAACCCTGAGTGTTAGTCACCCAGGATAACCCTGAGTGTTAGTCACCCAGGATAGCCCTGAGTGTTAGTCACCCAGGATAACCCTGAGTGTTAGTCACCCAGGATAACCCTGAGTGCTAGTCACCCAGGATAGCCCTGAGTGTTAGCCACCCAGGATAACCCTTAGTGTTAGTCACCCAGGATAACCCTGAGTGTTAGCCACCCAGGATAACCCTGAATGTTAGTCACCCAGGATAACCCTGAGTGTTAGCAACCCAGGGTAACCCTGAGAGTTAGCCACCCAAGATAACCCTGAGTGTTAGCCACCCAGGATAACCCTGAGTGTTAGCCACCCAGGATAACCCTGAGTGTTAGCCACCCAGGATAACCCTGAGTGTTAGCCACCCAGGATAACCCTGAGTGTTAAGCACCCAAGATAGCCCTGAGTGTTAGCCACCCAAGATAGCCCTGAGTGTTAGCCACCCAGGATAACCCTGAGTGTTAGTCACCCAGGATAACCCTGAGTGTTAGTCACCCAGGATAACCCTGAGTGTTAGTCACCAAGGATAACCCTGAGTGTTAGTCACCCAGGATAACCCTGAATGTTAGCCACCCAGGATAACCCTGAGTGTTAGTCACCCAGGATAACCCTGAGTGTTAGTCACCCAGGATAACCCTGAGTGTTAGTCACCCAGGATAACCCTGAGTGTTAGTCACCCAGGATAACCCTGAGTGTTAGTCACCCAGGATAACCCTGAGTGTTAGTCACCCAGGATAACCCTGAGTGTTAGTCACCCAGGATAACCCTGAGTGTTAGCCACCCAGGATAACCTGAGTGTTAGCCACCCAGGATAACCCTGAGTGTTAGTCCACCCAGATAACCCTGAGTGTTAGCCACCCAGGATAACCCTGAGTGTTAGCCACCCAGGATAACCCTGAGTGTTAGTCACCCAGGATAACCCTGAGTGTTAGTCCCCCCAGGATAACCCTGAGTGTTAGTCCACCCAGGATAACCCTGAGTGTTAGCACCCAGGATAGCCCTGAGTGTTAGTCACCCAAGATAACCCTGAGTGTTAGTCCACCCAGGATAACCCTGAGTGCTAGTCACCCAGGATAGCCCTGAGTGTTAGCCACCCCAGGATAACCCTTAGTGTTAGTCACCCAGGATAACCCTGAGTGTTAGCCACCCAGATAACCCTGAATGTTAGTCACCCAGGATAACCCTGAGTGTTAGCAACCCAGGATAACCCTGTAGTTAGCCACCCAAGATAACCCTGAGTGTTAGCCACCCAGGATAACCCTGAGTGTTAGCCACCCAGGATAACCCTGAGTGTTAGCCACCCAGGATAACCCTGAGTGTTAGCCACCCAGGATAACCCTGAGTGTTAGCCACCCAGGATAACCCTGAGTGTTAAGCACCCAAGATAGCCCTGAGTGTTAGCCACCCAAGGATAGACCCTGAGTGTTAGCCACCCAGATAACCCTGAGTGTTAGTCACCCAGGATAACCCTGAGTGTTAGCCACCCAGATAACCCTTGAGTGTTAGCCACCCAGGATAACCTGAGTGTTAGCCACCCAGGATAACCCTGAGTGTTAGCCACTCAGGATAACCTGAGTGTAGCCACCCAGGATAACCCTGTGTTTTGCCACCCAGGATAACCCTGATTGTTAGCCATCACACGGATAACCCTAAGTGTTAGCCACCCAGGATAACCCTGAGTGTTAGCCACCCAGGATAACCCTGAGTGTTAGCCACCCAGGATAACCCTGAGTGTTAGCCCACCCAGAAACCCTGAGTGTTTGCCAAACCCATTAATACTCCTGAGTGTTAGCACCCAGGATAACCCTGAGTGGAGCCACCCAAGATAACCCTGAGTGTTAGCCACCCAGGATAACCCTGAGTGTTAGCCACCCAGGATAAGCCCTGATGGTTAGCACCCATGGATTAAACCCTGAGGTGAGCCACCCAGGATAACCCAAGAAAGTCAGTGCGTCATCGGGGACTGTCTGTCTTATTTCCATTGTGATCCTTCAATCTTGTCCCCCAGGATGCGACCCAGTATAACTTTCAGTGACTCAGTGCTGATAGTCACGAGTTCACTGCGTGAGTGTTAATTTGTCATGTTTGGAATGTTATAATGTCGTGTTTTATAAAATTATGCAAGATTGTTAGGACTAAACTCAGTATAAAGAAAGAGGACCTCATTCTGTCGTAGGCACAGGAAAACGTACCCAGAACATCATACTGGTCGTAGGAAAGTCACCATTAATCGTCTCATCGCTGCCTCTCATGACCTGACCATTAAAACAATTTCCCTTAAAAATCAGAGACCTGTGCATGTTGAGAGTGACTTCAGATGTTACTGATGACGCTCTTAAGAGGAAAATATTGAAAGATCCTTGTATAACAGCAACAGGAACCAGGCTGATGTGCTTGGTCACCAGTCATAAAGAATATTACAGAATCGTCTTGAGAAAGAACTTGGATGCCATCTCTAACTCCTGCACAGGAAATTATTCTAGTCGAACAAATGTCAGCTAAATGATTCCAGTTTGCAAAA